CATCTGGTTGAGCAGGTGCCTACTCTGTCTTAGTGGATATCTGCCCGCCTTGGCCACCTCCTGGACCCCTATGACAGGCGGAAGGCAGAGGGCCCAGTCACACTTGCCAATTGCCCCTTGCCCCTGTATTCCACCACTAGCAAATTTGCTTATTTTTGCTTCAGAATAGTAAACATGGAAAAATTCTCAGCATTTGTCCAGTTGGATTATTCTGGCCTAAAATTTACAATTCCCTTATCAATTTTACACAAATCTTGGTTCAGTGAACAACCCTATTGTTAAGGAGCTTGCAGATATTTTGCGTAGATCAAGACATTTTACAATGTCACCTTCAATGGCCCCAAAGTGCAACAATGAAAAAAAGACATCTTACTTTTACTTAACTACTCTTTGAACACCTGAAAGCATTGCTTAGAATCTGCTTTTTAAAAAAGTTGAAAGTCTATGAAATAACTTGTGTTCCCTGTAAGGGCGATGAAGATCCTTCTGAAGACACATGCAGTTAACAAGAAGAATGACTATTGGTGTCAAAAAACAAAGAAAATTAAATCCTGCCAGGCATGCTGTTCTTGTCTTCTGTTAGTTTGACAGGGTACCGGCTCAGAGTTCCACTCATATCATTGAGGAAATAGCTAATCAAGATTCCAGAGAAGTTCTATGTGCAGCACTGGGGAAGTACAAGAGCTGTAGCATTCAATATTAAACAAGACAAGCAGCAAGTGATGCTTTGTGGGCCTTTGAGATAAAACGAAAAGGTCATCTTTCTTAAGTTCCAGCAATTTTTTCATTGACTTGCCCAGCAAATGTCAGGCAGAATGCAGCACATGTCAGCAGAAAATGCAAGGTTGGTCAATTTTTGGCAAGCGCTTTGGTAATTCCACATTGTTAAGGTACCTTTTGGAATTATGCTAATTGCAAGAGTTTTATTTTGGAAAATACTGTCATCTGAGTAACCTTTGCAATCCTAGCAATTGGATTTAATTGGAGTTTAGAAACATCTATTTTCATTTATAATGTGATTTTGTACTCATAAAAAATTACAAAGAGTTGTTAGAAGTGTGCCCAAGAAACTTTAGCAACAATCACTAAAATCACTAGCATGACAAATCGCCGGCATCTCTAGAGGGTACCCATGAGTGCTTTCACGCTCCACAAATGCTTTCCATAGGCCAAGAGATAGCAGCAAAAGCTCCCTCTGTGGTCAAATGGTGCAAGCGCCATCTGTAGGGGATTCACTATGAGACAGCGGAATCGGAGTGCCTGTCTGTTCCTAGAAGGTTGTGGACAAACAGAGAGAGAGAAGAAGGCAGCGGAGGAGACAGCTGTGGAGACATTTAGATAATAGCGGAGGGAGTGTGCCATCACCCACTCAAGATCTTCAGTCACATGCATAGAAAATAGGCAGTAACAGAGAAGAGGGAAATGTGTCTGTTGCTTCTAGATTCTCGTGATGGAGAAGACCAGATGCAGGGGATGCGGGTGTTCAACAGGTCCAAAAAATAATCTACTTTATTTCCTTTGAATACCACAAAAGGAATAGCACAACAATGAATGTCAATAACTTTCTAGTACCACCTAATTGTGTTATTCAACAAACTGCATCCCCCAAGGCCTAAAAATGCTAGGTTTTCACTTAAGATAAATTATAACTCCGGCTATCGCATTAGCGACTTCAGAAGAGAACTAAATTGATTTACTGAGAAGATTAGCTGGCACTCTCAGCCAATAAATTGATATATCCATCACAAAAGGGGATGTCTGCTTTCAATATGCCAAACAAGTAGGCTAGTTTGACGACTTACTGTAGTAGTTATGGTGCCTAGACTGACCCTTTAAGAAGAACATTCCATGAGGTTTTTGGGACCTAGAGACCAAGTTGTGCTGACGCAAAGTGTACCTTAATTGGGTTTAATAATACATTTAACTGATGTATAAAATATTATGCACACTACATTATACAAGTGATCCAGAGCATAAATCCTAAAATAGATTTTATCTTTTGCCATTTGGACCTCTGTAAGAAGTGAAATGATGTGGTTATGATTACTGTGAGTAGAATGACATTAAGAAATTAATTTACATCTTTGTAACTTTCAGTAAGAGTTGTCCTTTCCAATCATTGTCTAACACAAAGCATGAACATAATTGTGTACATTAGATTTAATGTGGTTGATGGTGCATGCAAAATTGATATCAAGTAGTTGGAAGCTGTGTGCAATAAGGCAGAATAGCTATAGACAACTGAAGGCTTAAATGTCAAAAAAATTAACTTTGTTAATATATACTTTATAATGAGTTCCAAAAAGCAAGGATTTGTACAGAGCCCCAAAAGCATGAAAGATGACTTGGACCTGGTATTTGAATCAACCTTTGGTTCAGGTCATATGTGGCCAGGATTAGATTTTTAGTCTTACTAGGTAACTCCCTAGGCCTATGAAGGGCAAGCTTCTCAAGGCAGATCTTTGTTTAATTTTATTTCTCAAAATACTTAGCCAGTTATTTGGGTTTGCAGTTCTTTAGATTATCAATCTCTGTAGGCCAGTGAGAGATAGCTTTAACAATGCAGAGGGGTGTGAAATACATTTCCTATAATGCTCAGCTTGCCTAAATACCAGTGACACCACTGGAAGGGCACGATATATAATCTTAAAGCAATGCAATAGGCAACCAGCATACTAACTGTTACATTTTCTTGCTCCCAGTAATTGCCCAACACTATATTTGGCTCTTTCTAAATAATCTTTAAAGGGCTACTCCAACCACATGACCACTTCTGCTTTTAGCATGAGTATGTATGTGCAACGTTTCTGCTTTGGTAACATCGATGGGGGGATTGCAAACCAGTGCGAGGAGCTTCACCGGGTGCTGGATTATCAGGTATGTTTGTACTTTAAAAAACAAAGAAAAGAGTTACTTGTGCACCATCCCAAATCCCTACACACATTTAAATAACTAGAGGTTTTTAGTATCACTCCAGTCAGAGCTGTATTTACCACGAGGCTAACAAGGCACTTTCCAGGGCGGCACTTTCCAGGCATTTTTTGTCACTCCAAAATGCACAGGGAAATGCCTTGTTAGCTTCATTTTATGGGGGCTCAAGAGCTGGCCGACTGGCCACCTTTGGGGCCCCCTGGGGCAGGCGGACAGTTGTGTTCCGGGCGGGCAGCGAAGGAGTGCTGGTTTTATGAGCTCTACCTGCTCAGCTCCCTTGCGCGCCCTGCAGTGGTGCCAGGAGCTGGAATATGACATCAGTCCAGCTCCCGGCATCACTAAGCAGTGCACAAGGGAGCTGAGCAGGAAGATCACAGCTCTCTTGCCACCTACTTTGGTCATCCACCTGCCTTCCTGCCTACCAGCAAATCTTCCAGCCCGCCTGCCTGCCCGCTTGCCTGCCCAGCAGCCCTACTGGACCCCAGGTAAATAATCCACCCAGTTCTCCCAGAAGTAGGGAGGCTGGGTGGATTTAAATAAAAAAAAAATAATAATTTGTGAGTGTTGGGGGGAAATGTGTGTGTGTGTGTGCATTTGTTTGTCAGTGTGTGTGTGTCTGTCAGTGAGTGTGTGTCTGTCAGTGTATGTGCCTGTCAGTGTGTGTGTGTGTGTGTGTCTGTCAGTAAGTGTGTGTCACTGTCTGTCTCTCAGTGAGTGTGTGTGTATCAGTGCGTGTGTCTATCAGTGCGTGCGTGAATGATTGTGTGTCTGTCAGAATGTGTCAAATCAATGAGTGTGTGTGTATGTCAGTGTATCTTAAAGTGTGTGCTTGCCCATGAGTGTGTCAATGTGTGTATGGCAGTCAAAATGTGTGTTATTCTTTAACAGCATGAGGTGTGGTCTTGGCAGGAAGGGGTTTGACAAATTTAAATTAGGGGGTGTCTGAGTTTCCTCATACCTAGGGCAGCACCAATCCAAAATAGACCACTGACCCCAATGACCACTTAAGTGTAAGCTCACCTCCCATGTCAAGGCAAACTTCTTAGGCGAGTCCTACACTAACAATTCACCTTGCTTCTTTCATCTTCAGGTAAAACATCTCTAATGAGACGGAGAGGGGTATATTTCCAAACATCTACATACTTATTGGGAATTCCAGGGGGGGCATAATTGTAGTGACATCCATGCTTAGCCCCTTTTTTACAGTGTCATGAAGGGGAGGGGCATAGTCATTATCACATAAAGCCAGGGTGACCAGATTTTGGAAATAAAAAACCAGGACACCCATTAGGCAAGGAGACAGAGTGATCAGCATGATGCCAGAAATAAGGTAAATAGCTTTAAGGGGGGAGGCAGAATACGTAAATAGTGTTTTCACATAATGTTGGTATTCCTGACAGTACAGTGTTCCTCTAATAAAATTAAAGGAATATTCTGGTCACCATAACAACTTCATCTAAATGAAAATGCTATGATGCCAAGAGGCCCCTGGGTGCTCTCTTTCCTTTAAGGGGTTAAACTGTTTGAGAGCGGTTTAAAAAGGCTTCCTCCAGCTCCAGATCTCCAGGTCGCTATGTGGTATTCAGATTCTGAAACAGAATGTCAGGAAGTGCAGATTGATGTCAGGCATGGATGCCACTGATTGGCTAGAGTGGTCAGCTGATGCTCTAAGCCAATCGCTTGTTCCCAGTTCATAAAAATGTTTTACTGAGCTGACTGCTCTAGCCAATCAGTGGCGCCCCTAGCCAGCGGCACTCTATGCTTCCTCAGACTCAGTAAATAAAAGTGAACCCATTAACGCTGATATTTTGTTTTACCTGGGGAGATGAGAAGGTCAAAAGTTTCCCTGTCAGGCCCAGGTACCAAAGCCTTATGATGTGGTGTCCAGAATAAAGTGAAAGGATCACTTCACTTGTCCTTCCTGCTCCAATCTCCTTTTGCTCCTTTACCTTTCTGCTACTTTCTTCTTCTTTTGCGTCCTTCTGCTCCTTTCTGCTCCTTGCAGACCATTTCTGCTCCTTGCTGACCCATCCTGCTCATTTCTGTTCCTTTCTGCTCCTTCTCCTACTTTACCTTTCTGCGCCTTCTGATTCATTCTGCTCATTTACCTTTGTGCTTCTTTTGTCCATTCCTGCTCCTTGCTGCTCCTTTCTGCTCCTTGCAGACTTTTCCTGCTCCTTGCTGCCCCTTTCTGCTCCTTGCAGACTTTTCCTGCTCCTTGTTGACCCTTCCTGCTCCATGCTGACCCTTCCTGCTCCTTGCTGCCCTTTCCAGCTCATTCTCGTACTTTACCTTTGTGCTCCTTCTGTCCATTAGTATCAAATAATAGTATACTTTATTTGGGAGCGGCAGGAGGGTTCTATTAAATAATGTCCAATAGGGTATTGTAAACTATACAAAATAATTTTGTATAAAAGGTTAGAGTAATTTTTGAGACCCTAAATAAAGTCATATCCCATATGCACCAGTTTTAACTTTTCATTTCACAAAGTCTGAGTAAAGAGGATAAACATACGCAGGGCTATTTACTAAAGTGAGAATTCAAAGTGAATTTCACATTTAAAGCCAAACTGAAGTCATAGCTGACTTAGGAAAATTTCTAGTTTGGCTATTTTGACCTTAAAATTTAAATTTACTTTGAACTCTTATTTTAGTGAACAACCCTGATAGTGATCTGTGTCCAAATTCAGATTGTCTTAATAATATTAATTATTACCTATTGCATACATAGGTATACTTCCGTATCAAGTATGAGATAATATAAGTGAAAGAACATAAAATATAGGAACATATGATAAGACAGTACTATAAACCATTATGTATTAATAATGCTCTATACAATGCTCTATACGATTAATGTTGGCTGTTTAGCCAGAGGTTGTTTGATAGGGTTCCTCTACAGGTCTGTCTGGGTACTATACGGCATAGGTGAGAGCTCTAGTGAGGTTCGATCTTTCATGACAGTGTGACTGTAATGAATTGGCGGTGTTCCCAGGGTGGACATTGTGACAGATTTTGGAAAGTGGAGAGTCAGCGTCTAGGGATTGTTCTCTTGGTAAGGTTGGATCTAGTTAACGAAGTTCCTTACATTACGTCTTTGTATGCTTCCCTTCCTGAGCACTCCTTGGCAGGTCAACTTCAGCTTGTCGAGTTTGCAGGTTGAGGCTCTGGATGATCTTCTCTGGGTCTTCGTCTGAAGACAGTGTAAGGGTCTTGTCCCCTTGTGGTATTTGTAAAGATCTGTCAGCTTCCCAGCGGTCCCTCAGCTTCTTAGCTACTGGTACTAGCGTTAGCTTTTCTATGAGAGCAGCAAACTGGATGTCATTGAAGAGTGACACTGCGGTTTCCTCATCCTGAACCGTTCCCATAGCTCTGGAGCGGCTCATTATGGCTGTGTGCACTGTTATGTCCCTGGTGACAATGATTGTATATCTGGGGGCACTGGCCGGGGCTGGAGCTGTCTTGCGCACCCGGAAAGCAGTCAGTATCATGGAAGGTTTTGTTCCCCCCTTTAGGCCCATTGAAGCTATTAGCTTTTGGGAGTAGGGTAGTAGTGTCTCCCCTGTGACCTGTGTGGTATCTCCCTTAGGCGGATATTGCAGCGCCTATGTCGGGCTTCCACTGTTCTGTGCAGTTTCTGGACTTGTTGGGTCAGGCCCTCCAGGTAAGTCTCATGAGTTTGCAGGTATGCAGCACGGGCCTGTTCCCTCTCCTCCACTCATCTGACCTTTTGCTGGAGTGCTCCCATTTCCTGTTGTGTCTCTTGGAGGTCCGCTTTCCAGAGTGCACGCAGGCCCAGGAGTAGCTTTTTAATGTCCCTCTTCGTAGAGGGAGACTAGTCTTCCTCTGACTTAGTCTCCGGGGAGTGCACGCTCTGTTTGGATGAGGCCAGGAGCTCCTCTTCCTCCTTGAGCCTCGTGGCGGGCGCCATCTTGAGAGGTGCAGGCAGTACAGGCCGCTCGAAGGAGAACCATATATCTGGTTGTCTGGGGAGCTCTGGTGGGTAAAACCTGCGGTTCCTGCGCCCTATTATGTCTCTGTGGGGGTGCGATAGGGTGTAGGCTTCCGCTGGGCTCCGGTTGAATACATTTTTCGGTATTGTCTTGGAATTGATGCGGAGCTCCATGGACCTGCGACTGAACAGTTGTGCTGTCAGCCATTGCCCCCTCCCTCGTAACTCTCATATTTAAATGGGGACTACCACTTCCTAAGATTTCTAATATTATGTTTATTTATCACCATGTTTAATTAATATGTATATGTGAGATGCGAAAAATAGAATTTGCACTTTATTATCCTGCTACGGGAGCTGCCATCTTGGTTCCCTGTCAATCATTCTTATAAGCTTTGTCCTTTGCTCCCGGCAGCCAGCATAAATAAAGTACAAGCAAGGAAACTAAACAATATTTCTGTTTCTCTTCCTCATTTGCAATATGCACATTTGCTTTGCCTGGACTCAAAATGCTTATAATGTAATTTAATATAAATTTAAAAGAAAACCAGAGTGTCAATTGAAAAAAGCATAATAGAAGTTACAGATGATTTTCAATACTTCTTTTTCTGGATGTTCTTCAACAATTATGTATTTCACTTTTATTCAGACTAGATTTTGGGCAAACTATTTCTTATTGGAGATGTAATAATGATAAAGGAATTGGCACACAGGGGAATTTAAGGAAAAAAAAAACCTTAAAAAATAAAAGATTCCATCGCTGCTTTAAGGGTTACACAGTTAATGATGGTGGAAATATATATATATATATAAAAATATAAAAAAATCAGAACCGTTGCTGATTCTTGAAGCTGGAGGGAAAATGTTCTCAGGGGGGATTTAGTTGGAAATATACAGTGATTTGACATGGCAAAGCACGATGTGTAACAGGCTGGTTATTGCATCTTTATGACTGTTAACATGATCAGACTAGGTAGAGTAATAAGCTCCACTAAAGGAAACAGTATATTTCTTTCATGACAAGTTCCCTTTAACATGAGCGGCTTCTGCACACGCACTGTGTTCTATGTTCTATGCAGAACCGAGAGCAGCAGAACAGACTGGTCATCAATTATGTGCTCGATGAGCAATTAAACATGTCTCCGTGCCTCATAGGAAAACTTACATTAGTGCATATCTCCCCAACCTTTGCCTGGGAAATTTTCAACTCATTATTTTCAGCTATGTAGTTAAGCTGCCCAAAAGACTGGCGCATTCCTTGGAAACAAAATGCTAATTAGTTCTAACACCCCAATGGGATTTTGGTTTTGTTTATGCACTAATTGGAAGGGCATTCATTGTTTGGACAGGATATACTAAGCTACCTTTCTGGCCAAAAAAAAAGGGAGATTGGTAACAATAAAAATGTATATTTTGGCCACAATGACTGTTGTAAAAAGTAATTTTTAAAACGAAACATAAAATTTGGCTCACGGCTATCCCATTATGAGGCATTCGAAGCAATGTAAAAATACATACCACATATTAAAGTGCTTTATTCTGTTGCAGGCTAGACTATTTTTACAGCAGAATGCTATAGGTCTAGAATGCTAATGTGATTGCAAGCTAAGAGCTGGCCAGAACATTATTTCCAATGGCCTTAAGTGCAAGAAAATGATGTAGTTTCCTTAATGCTAAATAATAGCTACATTTAACGTCCGTATACATGCACGTATTTCCTTATGCTGTAATAAAGTAAAAATGTGCCAAGCAACCACCCCAAAGTAAACCCCACAATAGCTTAGTGGATTCACTTAATTGTTCTGCTTTTCCAATGTGCCTACGCTGTAATATCTCCCAGTAAACGCTTGGTCACTCTTTTTTCATTTGGCTGTCTTTGCAATGCGTTTGTAACTGGAGCAGGACTCTAAGAGAGCTGAATAAACACACAGAGCTTGTGCAGTTTTTAACTCTTTATGGAGCATGGGAAACAGAATACAGCTAAACAATCCAAATAAAGCATTGTTGAATGTTAAAGGGCCAATTTCAGTTTTTAAACTTGGGATGTTGGTGGATTGCTATGATGCATCCATGTCTAATTTTCCATAGTTAAAGGGACACTATAGTCACCCAGACCACTTCAGCTCAATGAAGAGTGTCAGGTCCCTCAGGTTTTAACCCTGCAGATGCAAACATACCAGTTTCAGAGAAACTGCTATGTTTACATAGTAGGGTTAAGCCGGCCTCTAGTGGCTGTCTTCCGGCGTGGCTCCCGCGGCCTGGCTCTCTTCCCTTCCGCACGGAGGGAGCTGGGAGGAAGTGACCATCGGCCGTCACTTCCTTCCAGCAGTAGTTTGGGGCTGCAATTTTTTTAAAGGGACCCGGTCGCGCTATTGCACGGCCGCAGCGCTGACCGGGACCCTGAAGATATAGGGCCCATCGGGTGGCCCTGAGTGCTGGGGCTGGGTTCTGGACCCTGGCGGGCCGGACCCAGCCTGCGGGCCATAGTTTGAGGACCCCTGTATTAGTAGAATGGGATAACCAACTATTTTAATATATGTTTCATGTCGCAATAAGTAGAAGCATAAACTAGGCTAGCAGCTTGTCTTGTGATTTTGCTAGGGGAAATAAGACAGACACAACATAGTGTTTAACTGTGTATAAACCTTTGTTAAAAAAAGTTCAATTGCCCACTCACATTTTTAATGCCAACTTCAAGCTTTCAGATAATCTTTAAAGAGACCACTCTCTTGATTCAGAACCAGTCTCAGGATCATTTATGGGAAGAGAAAGTGCAAAAATTGTAGTGCAAATTTGAAAATAATGTGCATCACAAATTTATTCGCTTAGATGTAATTTTAAAACAGCAGGTGTAGACGTCAAAAGCGCGGATTTATTGTCAATTCCTTAGTCTTATGCGTTTCGGCCCTCCAGGGACTTCCTCAAGGATACTGACTGCTCTTGTGCAAATCACTAACAAAATGAAAACAAATATAAACAAGCCCTCCCTCCCCTCTCCCTTTTGAAATCCCATAATTGTCTAGTTCATTCTTTGATTGGTTAAAAGTTCTTCCAGCAGATTTCTCTCCTCCTGGTTTCCAGGTTATTCCTCGGAATAATGTCATCGTGTGCAGAGTGTGGCAGCATTACTGGTGTCTATCAGATTTTTAACCTCTCAGAGTCCGTGCCACCAATAATATGGATGGAGGTAGCAATCTGAAAGTTCTCATACATAATGTATATAAAAGTTGGGACAAAAGAAGAAGAGTTTTCTATTTTCAAACATTCAAGTTAGGGAGCCCTTCTTGAACAAAATATGCTATCATTTGAGATCAACTAAAAAAAACAAAAACGACTATATAGATTACTGAATAACTACTGAATAGCTACACCATCTCCGCTCATCCCCTCCATTACTTTTCTCGTTCCCCATTATATTTTCTGGGTGGTTTCAAAACCTTACTCCCCCCGGTTCCTACCACTTTGTATTCTACGTTTATAATTATTACACAAAACTAAAAACTGGATAAATACAATAAAATAAAATAGGATAAAAGCATAGAATAGAGTAAAAATATTATATTCTACTCTGCTCTAGAGCAAGAATGCAGGCAAGTTTCCATAAGTATATTTAAAGAAGAGTTAAACAGTTGAATATTTTGAAGAAACTCCTTGATGAATTCCCGAGATCTCTAGTGGATATAAAGGTCATTATTTTCAGGAGATGGAATAACTTGTCCCCTCACATCATACACACGGAATGCTTTTGTACTGATCGAGTGTTGCAGTCTCTGATCAATCATGCTGTACAGCTCCATAAAACTTCTTTGAAATGTAGAGAATGTGTCAGATACAGTTTAATAGAGGAATAGTTCATGTTTATTACACCCGGTAAAAGAAATGTGACAGCACCTTATTACCAAATGGACAAAGTAAATGGAATATATGCTGAAAAGGACCTGCTACGCTAAAACAATCAATTATATCCTTTGCAAAGATGGGATTCAAATGTACTCACACAAAGTCAGACTTCTGCTACCTAAGGCTGGAATTCAAAGTCAAAAGAAATTATTCACTGTTGGGTGCCTTAACCTGAGGTACGTCCAAAGATGATAAACTGGAAAAGGTTTTATTGGTGGTATTTAATAACGTGGAATTAGTGGCAACACATAATCACACTGAAATCTCAGTGAAGTTGCCTGTCAATGGCCAAATGTCAATTTATCCTGATTATTATAAATAATATTGGCGTTTATATAGCTCCAACTTGTTCCACAGCATTTTACAATATTATAAGGGTGGAATTTAACAACAAATGAGACAAACTATTACACATTTTGACAGGAACAATAGGATGATGAGGACCCTGCTTGAACCTAATATTACTCCCTCAGGGAGATATACAGTTGCAAGAAAAATGTATGTGAACCCTTTGGAATGATATGGATTTCTGCACAAATTGGTCATAAAATGTGATCATCTAAGTCACAACAATAGACAATCACAGTCTGCTTAAACTAATAACACACAAAGAATGAAATGTTGCCATGTTTTTATTGAACACACCATGTAAACATTCACAGTGCTGGTGGAAAAAGTATGTGAACCCCTAGACTAATGACATCTCCAATCAATGAAATGAGATTGGAGGTGTTGGTTACAGCTGCCCGGCCCTATAAAAAACACACACCAGTTCTGGGTTTGCTTTTCACAAGAAGCATTGCCTGATGTGAATGATGCCTCACACAAAAGAGCTCTCAGAAGACCTACGATTAAGAATCGTTGACTTGTATAAAGCTGGAAAGGGTTATAAAAGGATCTCCAAAAGCTCTTGGAGTGGCTGTCCTGTAAAGATGACTGCAAGAGCACAGTGCAGACTGCTCAATGAGGTGAAGAAGATTCCTAGAGTGTCAGCTAAAGACTTACAAAAGTCACTGGCAAAATATTCTGTGGACAGATGAAACCAAAGTTGAGTTGTTTGGAAGAAACACACAACACTATGTGTGGCGAAAAAAAGGCACAGCACACCAACATCAAAACCTCATCCCAACTGTGAAGTATGGTGGTGGGGGCATCATGGTTTGGGGCTGCTTTGCTGCGTCAGGGCCTGGACGGATTGCTATCATCGAAGGAAAAATGAATTCCCAAGCTTATCAAGACATTTTGCAGGAGAACTTAAGGCATCTGTCTACCAGCTGAAGCTCAACAGAAGATGGATGTTGCAACAGG